GGCTTCCTGGGTGCCTAGGGCTGGATGGGGCCAGGATGGGCTGAGGACACAGACGTGAGGACAGTGCCTGTCTTCCCGCACACGGTGGCAGGGCCATGTGTGGGGGACATGGGGGAGGAGAGGGGCTGCCTTGGGTGCAGCAGTACAGGTGACAGAGCAGATGGGAGGTCTCTGCAGGGCTCCCAGGTGGACAGGAGCCTGCCAAGCGGGCCAGATGGGGTGGAATGGGGTGAGGGGTTTGCAAAGTGGTGGGTATGGGGAAGGCTGCCCTGGAGTGAGAAGAGTTCTAAAAAGGAAGGTCTCTTCTCACTCTTACCTTGGAGTGGGAGCACCGGAAAATTAATCCCAGATCAGCAGAGCTCAAGGCCTGGTGCAGAGAAACCCATGTGTCATGGTGACGTGAAAGACCTATTTCAGATTCTCCCTAGGGTTCAAGTTTTCCCCAGAGGCAGAATTTTTTCCTGGGTCTTCAGTTCTTCACCTGTAATGAGAGGCGATCCTGAGGGATGTGTTTTAGAGGAGTGGCAGCTGCCCTGCTTACCCAGCATCAAGTCCTTCCTGCAGCCACACCTGCCTGGCCCTTGGGGACAGGGACAGTGTCACGCCACCATCCTTCCCAGGGCCCCACCCACAGCTGAAGGAGTGAAACTTACTTTTTACAGACATATTTTGAGGGGCACATTCATTTTGCTAAGTGAGATACACATTTATAAATATGAAGCAGGAAATTTCTGAATCTTGATAGCTTAGAGATCGTGGCCACCACTGTATGTGGAAGCCATGGAAACTCTGCACGTGTTGTTTCAGATTTAAAATGCATGCAGCTCACACCTAAATGCTATAGGGCTGGTATCTTCATGACCATCTACATTTCAGTTTAAAAAAATCGCTAGGCCCGGTGTGGTGGCTCACACCTGTAGTCCCATTGTTTTGGGCAACTGAGGCAGGAGGATCACCTGAGCCCAGGAGTTCAAGACCAGCCTGGGCAATATAGCAAGACCCCATCTCTACAAAGAATAAAATTAGCTGGGACTAGTGGCGTGTGACTGTAATCTCAGCTACTCAAGAGGCTGAGGTGGGAGGCTCGCTTGAGCTCAGGAGTTTGAGGCTGTGGTGAGCCTTGATTGTGCCACTGCAGTGCAGCCTGGGCAACAGTAAGACCCTGTCTCTATCTGCACCGCATGCCCCCCGGCCCCCCCCCCCAAAAAAAGTCCACTCCTTTCTGGGAAAAGATGGGGTTGTGAAATATGTAAATAAGTTGAGGAGTGCTTTAGAGAGGGGTTTTGAACCACAGAATAATGAGATTTGAATGCGGGAGATCTCACCCTCTAGTTTTAACACCTTGTTTAGTCTCAATTCCCTCTGTAAAACCAGAGTGACATCATCTGCCTCAGCACTGGCTGTAAAGTTAGAGGAGATGAGGCTGACAAAGTGCGTGCCTGTGTCTAGGACTTAATGTTGTGATGCTGAGGTGAGGAAACTGAGGCCAGGAGGGGGACTCCCTGCCCAGGCTGCATGTCAGTGTCGCCTGGGAGCATTGCTGCCACCGTCGCCTCCCGCCCGCTGCGTGAGCGCCCCAGGGTGCTGCCGTCTTCCCAGGTGACTGTGCCGCCCTCGCCTCCCGCCCACTACGTGAGCCCCCCGGGGTGCTGCCATCTTCCCAGGTGACCGTGTTGGGAGCCTCTGCCACCACCAGCACAGCACCTCCGGCTCACTCTGGAATCTTCTCTCTCAAAGTTGGCTCCTACTTCCGGCTTGAGGTTTTCTGGGCTTGGCAGCATCACCCGATGGGATTTGTGGCCTGGCCCTGGAGGCTGTGAGTTGGCCTGTAGGGCTGTGACTGAGCCTCCCACCAGCTACACCCATGGGGGGCCGGCGGAGGGGTGTTGGGGGTTGCCAAGTTCCTTGCAGGCCTTGTAGCCATGACTTTGGGAGAGAGGGACCATGGGGATAGAACAGGGGGGCAGCGCCCCAGGGGGTCCTCCTCCTCAGTTGAAGTAAGTTGAGAGAATTGGGGTGCTCTAGGAAACCCAAGACCTGGCACTCATGGAATTTTCTAGTAACAGTGAGCTCCCTGGGAGGCAAGGAGGGAGTTCCCTGGCAGGGATGGGACCTGCAAACCCATGTCCCTGCAGCCAGCCTTACTGGAGCCAGAAGGGAACTGTGAGTGCAGGTTGGCAAGGGGAGGCCTCTGTGACTCGGGGGAGGCTCAGGAACTGGAGCCAGCCTGACTCTCTGGCCAATCTGGGAGCTGGCCACCTCTCCTTCCCTCCAGCCTCCTTCCCGGCTGGGCCTCTGTGGGTCAGGTCTTCTGGCCTTGCTTTTCCCCTCGGAAGTGAGGCGGACAAAGACCAGACAGTGTCAGGGCTGGAGGGAGCTTTGAGGGGAGCTGATTCTCAGCTCACCGATGAAACTGGAGCTCCGAGTAGCAATTGGACCTGGAAAGTTGCCCAGCTGGTGAGGGGCAGGGTCAGAGTCCAGGGTTCCCCCCGAATTTATGTCCCCTATTGTATGTACCTACAAGTGGAGTGAAAAAGTGGATTTTATTTTTAAAAACTTGCAGATCAGTGAAAGAAATACTGTCCTGCATAGAGGGTCACCAGGCATGAGCCAAGCCTGACGCTGCTTCCAGCTTGGGTCATAATCTTCGGTGATTGGTGTGGAGTTTTTCTGAGATAGTTGTTCTGGTGGTCTGCACAGCAGGCCTTAGGTGGACAACTGGGGGGATAATGACTAACTCCTTGCACAAGCTCAACACTGCTCACTCGATAGAGCCTGTCCCATCTGTCCCTGTGAGATGGCCAGGTGGGGCATGTCCATTGGAAGCAACAAGACCCAGGAGTGCAGAGTTCTTTCCTTGGCCCAGTGTGACACTCAAATGGTTGTGGCACCAGGGCAGCCTGCCTTGTGTGGGGCCCTTGGTGCAGGGTCGCCTGCCTACCCTGGCAGTGCGGGGCCCGGGTGCTTGGTGCGGGGTCACCGACCCTGGCAGTCTGGAGCCCAGATACTCGCTTCCCGGTTGGCCTCCACCTCCCTGTGCGGCTTACCCTTTGGCCTCCAGGACGCAGAGCGCTGAGAGCCCAGGAGACCCTCAGCCCTAGACACTGATATATGGCCTGGTGAGGAAGCCTGACCTTGTCACCCAGCTCTCCTGGCTTCTGGAATCGTGAGCTTGGGGGCAGGCAGACTTCCAAGGCCACACAGCCCCTGCCGGAGAGCGGTCTCTGGGCTGGTGGAGGCGGTCTGGAGCTCAGCACAGTCTGTGGGTTTTGCTTTGACTCCTTCAACTCATGTTGGCAGCTTTTTGGCCAATCAGGTGTTGACTGAGTGGCCTGAGGCCATGTGGTACTGACCACTCAGACAGGGGCGGGTTGTCCTGCCCCAGCAGACTTGCCCCACAAATGGGGTAGGCGACTGGGGCTGCTAAGACCCAAGAGGTCAACAGGTCATTACGGGCTGGAACCAGACGCCAGCAGAGCTTGGGAATCTACACCTGGTGACTTGCTGACCAGCACTGAGACTCGCCTGACCTCCTGATTCATGACGCAGCGGGCCCTTGTTGAGTGCCACAGAGGCTGCAGGAACATTCTGCCGGGTGTGGTGGTGGTTGATCCTCAGGGCAAGTATTGATCAGCTCTAATGAAACACAACAGAGTTCAGAGAGGATATGGCATAACCAAGAGAACCGAGAAAATTCATGTCACAACCAGCCTCCCTTGTTGTCTGTTAGACCATCTTGTTTAAAAATTAAAAATTGACTTCCTGCCTTTTTCACCTACCCCAGAATCCATTCTACTCCATGAGGCTAACCTTTTCTCCCCTGAGGGCCAGAAACTGAGAAATTCTTCTACTTCTCTTCCCATCCCATTTCTCAACTCCAAACTCAGTTCCCAGAAACCACACCTAGCAGACAGGCATCTGGAAACCAGGGCTGGGAGGGTGGCCACAGCCTTGGGGGAAGGGCGTGGAGCTGGCGCCAGGGAAGCTGCAGGAGCCAGACCAGGAAAGAGGCCTTGCTTGAAAAGACTTACTGAGGCCAGTGGTGTTGGAGAAGTAGGAAGGATTAGCACTTGGTCCAGACATGTTGGGGCCCAGTCATGGCCAAAGATCGGAGTAGCAGCAGCCAGTCCTGGACGCCAGGCAGGGTTGGGATGTTCAGATCTGTACCCAAGGTTACCCCAGCAGACCATCAGATCTGCAGTCCCTACAGCCTATGGAAGTGGGCCAGGACACCTGGGGCATCTTCAGGGTGCCAGGGATGGGGAATGGGCACTTGATACCCCAGAAGCCTTTTGAGCCAGGGCACTGACCTCACAGGCAGTGGGGGAGACCTCAAGTCCCAGGATACCCCCACAGTAACTTGAGACCTGAGTATTGGTACGGGGCACCCCTCACCTGCTGGCAGGTGGGGTTGCCTGAGAGGATACCTGTGAATCCCAGAAAACTAGAAACCTGTGACACATGTGTAGGGTAAACATTGTGACTACCAAATCAGCCTGGGACCTCTTCAGGGGTCCTGCAGCATCCCAAACCATCTGAGCTTTTAGGATTACACAGTCCTGCTCAGTGGGACCCGGGATTTGTGCACCCTCCTTCCTGACAAATCGGCACAGTGCTGCTTGAGCAAATGCGTGAAGGAATGAATGGGTGGCAAAGGGTCTGCTCAGTCCTCACAGCTGGAGGTACTGGCCAGCCTTGCTTTGTTGGGAAGCTGGAGGGGGAACCACAGCCCCTCAGCCAGCCTCGAACGCCCGCACCGTGCCCCTCGTGGAACCTTTGAGCCTTTCAGGCCTTGAGCCATGCTCCTGGGTGGACCACCCATCCATGGTACATGTGGTGGTGTCTGAGGCTCTGGGGTCCAAGGCTCTGCTGGGCCCCTCCCTGGACATTGGGCAACTTGAGGTTTGATTTTGGTCACCACCCACCCCACCTCCTCCATCCCCTTTTCTGAAGACATGCCTTCACCCCTGGCCTTTTCTCTCTTCTTCCTTGGGGTGCAGATCCTGGCCAACGTCTTCCTCTACCTGTGCGCCATCGCCGTGGGCATCATGTCCTACTACATGGCTGACCGCAAGCACCGCAAGGCCTTCCTGGAGGCCCGCCAGTCGCTGGAGGTGAAGATGAACCTGGAAGAGCAGAGCCAGCAGCAGGTGAGGCTCTCGGGAGGCCTCTGGCCTGGAGCTTGGGCTCAGGGACTGTGGCCTTGTCAGAAGGAGAGGAATCAGAGTGGCAGCCCCTGGCTCCGTGGGGCTTGGCGTTCATCTGCCCTGTTCAGGTGTTTGCTTCTGAACTTGGCCTTCTGGGCTTCTCGCCATTAGAGGGCAGCTTCTGAGCTTCAGGGAGCCTCTCACTCCTAAATCTGCTTCTGCTTGACCCGGATCTCTCCTCGTCTGCCTTCCTGCTCTTTGCTTTGTTTTGCTTCTGTAATGTAAAACTTTTCCATTTAAAGAAATGCATCGCCCAAGCAGCCAGCTATGACTTCCTGCATTCCTTTCTCCGATGACCTTCTCGGGACCAAGGTCAGGGTCAGGGGCATCATGGGCATCCCTTCACGTCATGCCTCCCCCGCCGCTCTTGCTGGTCCAACCGCAGATCACCCTGTGCACCTGCTCATGCCGTGGGTGGGGCCTCGACCCATCCTGCGGCCTCAGGGCCCTGCTGGGTGAAGTGTGTCAGCCTCACGCCCCCACCCAGGGGAGCTCCTCCCTCCCTTACCTTCCCATCTGAGGTCACTGCTGAAGAAGGAAAACTAGTCTGTTCCTCGGGGATGCCCCTGTTTACATTCTCCATCTGGAGAGAGGCCTGGCTGTCCCTGCCTCGGTTTCCTGGCTTTCCTCCAGTCTCTTCCATGGCCGAACCATCCTCCCAGTTCTCATGTCACTCAGGCTGTTACATAGTTGGGCCTGGATTCATCTCACATGCTTTTTGAAGGTCTTCAGAAATTACATCCACCAATTTCCTGTTATCCATAGGTTGATTTCCCTTCAAAAACAAGCTCTCAATAGGTTGACACTATGAGAACTTGTTTGACACTATGAGAGGTTCTGCTCTGGGAACCACATTGTTTGTGTTCAGGAGGCTCTGTGTGCTCCTGATGCACTGAAACTGCTGTTTCATAGGTGGTGCCACTCAGGTGGACAGCGCCTTGGTTTCGGGGGCCACTCTGGAGCCCTTGGCTTCCAGGAGCCCCACTGTCGGGCCTCACATTCTCTAGACAGTGCTGTTCCGAGGCACACACTAAGTCATTTAGCTGATGGGTCCCCGATTTCACCATCCTGGGGATGTTTTTTTTCCCTCCCCATTTACCAATCTCATTCCTTTCAGAAGGCCCCCATAGGAGGGGATTTTCTTAGTAGCCCATCATATTCCCCCCTTCCCCTGGGCCCTGTGACCTGTGGTTATTGAGGAGCTGCTGTGGCCTGTGCATATTTAAAGAATCTTCCTTTCCTGGCTTGTAAAGCCCCTTGAAAGGCATTCTTTAATTTCTGTTTTTTTTTATACTGTCTCATTTCTTGTTTGTATCTGATCTCGCACTGTGGCGGCATCCCTCTGGGTTCTCTACACTTAAAAAAAAAAAAAAAAAAATGCACGTGTCACCACCTAGCTAGGCGAGCGTTCTTTTTATATAACATTTGTGCAGTTTTCAGCGTGTCTGTCTGCATCGCTCTTATCTGTCTCATATTGTACAATCTAGGACATCTTAAGTCACACTGAACGGTCATGTGGGGGCCCCTGGTGTGATGAGGAAGGCCCTGTGTCTCACCCTGGAGCTGTTCTCTTGCAGATAATTTAGATAAGTTACCCACCCTGCAGAGCCTCACTTTTCCTCATCTGCAAAGTGGAGGTATTGACATTTGTCTTGTAGGTTTCTTGAGGGTCAAATGAGAAACCCAGAACTGCTTTGTAACCCGTAGAGCTTGTTAGAGGTAGGCCGAGTGCACGGGGCCATGAGGCCTGCTTTCTAACGCCCAGGGCCATATGCTCCCTCTGGGCAGGGTCAGCGCAGGGAGCCTGGGCACCAGCAGAGAGGGTCATCCCTGGGTGACCCGGGGCTCCTGAGGGTGCTAGCAGCCTGCCTGGGCCACACTGGTGCTTCTCTGCACTGCCTGCCCACGCTGCATGGGCAGAGCAGACATTGGCCCCGGGACGGACAGGTCCAGGTTAGGTGGAAGGGAGGTGCAGAGGTGTGGGGGGAGTTGAGGGGTAAGGTGCATCCTCAGGCCTAGCTGGGCACACAGCCGGGGCCTATAATTCTCCAAGTGGAATGAATTTGTCTAGCCCGGCTCTGTCCTGAGTGAATGAGTTTGTCTAGCCAGGCTCTGTCCTGAGTGAATGAATTTGTCTAGCCAGGCTCTGTCCTGAGTGAATGAATTTGTCTAGCCAGGCTCTGTCCTGAGTGTGGCCTTGGGCTCGTTGCTGCCCCTCTTTGGCCTTCAGTATCCCCGTATGTAAAACCTTTGAGAGATTTTTTTTTTTTTTTTGAGACGGAGTCTTGGTCTTGTCACCCAGGCTAAAGTGCAATGGCACGATCTCGGCTCACTGCAACCTCCGCCTCCTGGGTTCAAGCGATTCTCCTGCCTCAGCTTCCCAAGTAGGTGGGATTACAGGCACCTGGCACCATGCCCGACTAATTTTTTTTTGTATTTTTAGTAGAGACGAGGTTTCACCATGTTGGCCAGGCTGGTCTCAAACTCCTGACCTCAGGTGATCCGCCCACCTTGGCCTCCCAAAGTGCTGGGATTACAGGTGTGAGCCGCCACGCCCTGCCGAGAGATTGTTTTAAGGGTAAGAAGGAACCTGTGTGAATTCCACTGGGATTGGTAAAGCACTGTTACCATCGGGAGGGTTGGGATTCTGCCCTCTGTGTGAGTGTCCATTTACCTATATTCTCCTTACGTCTTCTGTGACTGTTCAAGAGAGAAACCTGCCTGCCATTTTCCTTCCTTTCCATGCGCTTGACAGGGTTTGGTATTACGGTTATGCCCAACTCATTAAATAATTTGAGAAGTGTTCCCTCTTTCCAACCCCTGATAGTTTGAAGATAATTTGGGTTATTCCTTAAATTTAGAAGTCACGGCATGTGGCTGGCCTGTAGGTGTGGCCAGGCAGGTGGCTCTGCCTGTAATACCAGCACTTTGGGAGACAGACAGGAGGATCACTTGGGCCCAGGAGTTCAAGACCAGCCTGGGCAACAAAGCAAGACCCCATCTCTACAAAAAATGAAAAAATTAGCTGAGCCATGGTGGTGCATGCCTGTAGTCCCAGCTACTTGGGAGGCTGAGGTGGGAGGATCGCTTGAGCCCAGGAGGTTAAGGCTGCAGTGAGCCGTGACTGTGCCCCTGCACTCCAGCTTGGGCAACAAAGTGAGACCCTGTCTTTTTTTTTAAAAAAAAAAGCACTAATGAAGAAGTCCTGTGGGCCTGGAGTGTTCTTTAGGGGAAGATTCTGTTTCCATCACAGATAATAAGGTTGTTCAGATTTTGTATTTCCTTTTGTATAGGTTTTAGAGAGGTTTTTTCCCCCAGAAACATGTCCATTCAAATTTTCAAAATTTTGGCATAACATTCTTGATATTTTCTTTTTACCTTTTGTCTGAAATGTATAATGATGTTCCTTTTTTTTCATTACCGAAGATAATTTGTGCCTTTTTAAAATTTTTCTCAATCAGTCTTGCTAAGGCTTATTGTTTTAGCCTGTTCGGCGGACCACCTTTAGTCTTTGTTGCCTTCTTTGTACATTTCTTATCTCTTATTTATTTTTGAGACGGAGTCTTGCTCTGTCACCCAGGCTGGAGTGCAGTGGCGAGATCTCGGCTCACTGCAAGCTCCGCCTCCTAAGCTCACGCCATTCTCCAGCCTCAGCCTCCCAAGTAGCTGGGACTACAGGCGCCCACAACCGCACCCGGCTAATTTTTTGTATTTTTAGTAGAGACGGGGTTTCACCGTGGTCTCGATCTCCTGACCTTGTGATCCACCCGCCTCGGCCTCCCAAAGTGCTGGGATTACAGGCGTGAGCCACCGCGCCCGGCTACATTGAGCTTTGTCTCACAAGTTTTAATATGCCATATTTTCAATGTCATTTAATTTAAATATTTACTAATTTTCATTGAAATGCCTTTGATCCGTGGGCGATGTAGAAGTGCACTAAGTTCTAAACACTTGAGGATTTGTTTACAATTATGTTTTTTTTTAGCTTTATTCTGGTCAGAGAACATACTCTGATTTCAAGCCTTTGAAATTTGTTGGAACTTGATTTTTGGCCTAGCATGTGGTCAGTTTTGATGCACTTGAGAATAATGTGTATTCTGCCAAATCTGTCAAAATCTTTTAAAAATGAAATAATGTCGCCGGGCGCGGTGGCTCACTTCTGTAATCCCAGCACTTTGGGAGGC